AGGGCTGTGCATCTATTTAAAATTTTCTAATAATTATTATAAATTTTATTACCTATCGAAAAATCTTCACTAATAAAATTTATTATATGACCACATATAGTTTTGATTTACATAGTGCACCGCGCACCCCAATGCATCATGCCCTAAACCCTACCAGTAATTATAAATAAATGTTTTTTATATTCTTCAATCAATATTAACATGTTAAGTTATTAAAAAATCAATATATATTCTATACATTTGATATGAATTAACTTTTTATTGATACATTTTTATTTTTTGTCTTGCAAAATATTGAGAGCCAAAATTTAAATTTTTGGTTTCGAATCAAAACATAAGTTTGAAACATTTTATATAAAAATCTATTTCTTAGGTTTTTAATATAAAGGTTTTAGAACCTAAACCAAACTCACTTTACTATCCCCATTTACCATATATTCCTTGAATGCTTCCAAAGATTCCTGATATTTTTTAATGCGAAGATCGGTGAGAATCCAATAAAGTCATTTGCAAATTTCAACAACCATACCTTGTAAATAGCCTTCAAAGGGTCCAATTTGGAAGATTTAATATTGACATTTTTAATTTTATCCAAATGGCCAGCCTTTCTTAACATATTTTTGAAGTGCCGGACCTTTGAAATATATATCTTATTATGTTTGATTATAACAAAATTTGTCATAATTTTAAAGAAAATACCTCTTGAGTCTCAACAATGCTATATGCGTCACCTTTGCGTCCGGCTCTCGCAGTCCTTCCAACACGATGAACATATTTTTTCATGTAAATAGGAACGTCATAGTTTATTACTGAGTCTACACGATCAATGTCTATACCACGAGCGATCAAATCAGAGCAGATAAGTCTAATGCAATAAATATTGAACCAAAATTAGTAAATTGGCAATGAAAATTTGGATCTCTTGCAATATAGTTGACTTCAATAACATGTAATTGATTATAAAGTGCACGAGATCCGAAAATTCTTTACACAAACATAATTTAATTTAACTGACAATTGAATTTCACCATGCTTGAATTTGTTTAAAATATTTCTTCTCTCCTCTTGTGACAAGTCACTTGAATACTCAGCTACAACTACTGATCTAGTAAAATTAATATTGTCCGATTTTTCGTTTTCTATTTGCATATCATTCATATTGATTTCATTTATTTCTTTTTTCATTGTGTGCACATATAACTTCTCAAATATCCTAATCAATTCGGAAAGCCTGTGAGCCGAGTCCACAGATTTAGTAAAACAAAGTGCGGATGATATATGAAGGTTGTGGAGTAAATGAAGAATCACAAGAGGTTTTTCAGATGAAGTGGAGACAATCATATATTCCTAAAGTTAGTGTAAACATGTGTTTAGGAAAAGTGCAAGTCACAACAAACAAAAAAAGTGATTATAAAATTTACGTTTAAGCTGCTAGGTAGAACATATTTAACTTCGCCTTCGTTTTTATTCATTGATTGAATAGAAATGTATCGTGGATTAATCAAATGTAGGCTTGCAATCTTAGCAGGATTTCGCGTGAGAGTCGCCGAGAATAAAAGCTTTTGAACCTTTTGTAATTTTTATTGTAAATATTATTGAAATTTAGAGAGTGCAGAATCAAATCATAAGATGTTATATTTACAGCTGATGTTTTAGGTTCTGAAATGTCTACTTTCGGAATGTGCAAGAACGTCTCCATCATTACAGCAGAAACGGTATCGTTTATGGGCACACTTGTAAATGTCAACAAATAAACACATATGAACTGTTGGTACTGTAGTAACAAATTAGCTAAATCAAATAAATTATTTACCCCAAAGGGTCAGACTTAATTTCCACTGGTTTTTTACTACTTGGATTTACAGTAACTTGTTGTAACTGTGTGGACTTAAGTATGTGCGACAACCAATCTTGATAACTTTGATTAAGTAAGCGATCAGCTTCATCTATAATCTTATTAAATAAAAAGGCATATTTTATGTATAAATAAAATAAAATACTATTAAAAATCAAAAAAAAAAAAAAACGTGCATTTAAATAAACAAACCAAAAATCGTAAATGTTGTAGAGTAAAATTTGGAGTCGTTGAAAGGTGTTCGATCAACCGACCGGGTGTGGCAATTAGTATGTCTACTTTGCTTTTACCACCTATGAAACTGTCAGTATATGAGTACATAACTAATTGCCTAGCAATTGCTCATAGAAGATACCAGTATTCTACTTACTGGCCTTGTAAATCGCCAACGATTTGTTCTTGTTCCTGAATGAATGATTGTTGACCTGTAACCATTCCAACCTTTTATTCCTAAATTATTAAGAAAATCAATCTGGGTGTAATAGAGAAATTTATGAATCATATTCCAACCTTCAAACTCGTGCCTTTACAAAAAGCATCAAATGTTTCTTTAACTTGGACCACTAAATCTCTTGTAGGAATAATAACCAGAACCCTTAAACGAGTTATAATACGCCTTGAAAGAATCTATATATAATGATGTGATAATTTCATATTTATTTACAAAACAGAAAGATGGAGTTCGCATGATACAAACATCAATTATTGGTAGCACGTATGCTAGGGTTTTGCCGCTTCCCGTCGGTGCAGATACACAAATATCGCCAGGTGATTTATGAGTATCTGATAGATTTCGTGAGTGTAACAACAGTGGAATAACTGCCGTTTGTACTGCAGATACGCAAGGAAAATATCAATTGATGAACTGATAATAATGATAGTTATTTCTTCGATTATAAATGTCGATAAGTCATAGAACCTGCAAAACACTCCTGAATTCCAAGTGCTTTACAACGTTTAATCAATCTCTCTGATAAGCTAATAGACGGATCATCAATTGTTTTCGTTGAATCTGACTCAACAATGGTTGGATTAGCCAACCAGTCTGGTATACCCAACGATTTAACGGCCGCAATCTCTTGTGGTGTTTGCTTTGGTCTCTCGAATGTTGGAAACGCTTGTAACACAGGAATATTTTTTGTAATTTTCACCCGTTGTTGCAAAGATAAATCATCATGTGTATTTTTTGATGTATTTTTCGATAGTTGTTCGGTGGAAGCAACCTTTTGGATAGAATCATCCTTTTTTTCGGTGGAAGCAACCTTTTGGATAAAGTCATCCTTTTTTTCGGTGGAAGGAACCTTTTGGATAGAGTCATCCTTTCCACTTACTTCCTTTTTTATGGGTCGTTTTCTTTTAAGTTGAATACGTTCATTGATCTTTGATAATCTTTCAGTGCTCACAGTAGAAACATCCTGAAACGGTTCTTGTTCAATTTCGTATCTTTGTATTTGGAACATTATGAACAACGGATTGATTGAGTTGTAGTGGCGGAAGAGGTGGCTAGAGGCCGAATTCAAATTCGAATTCGTTTTTGTGTTCGAATTTAAATACAAAATGCTGAATCTTTAAATCCGAAACCAACCGCCGGTAATGATATATCTGAAACGTTACAAAGTCGCGTTCACTTAACAAATGGAAGGTTATAAGTTTACCTTTGGGAACACAGGAGACGAGGAATACGCGAAGAAACACCAAAGATGGATATTACTTAAGTAAAAGTTTATCTGTTATCATTGTGTCACATTAACAGTTATTGGACAATCATAATGATAAAAGATCGGGGAAAACTCATCTTTTCGTTACTTAACATAAAAATGCGCGAGGAAACAAAGGTTTGTTTCTTATAAATATTTTTCAAGTACAAGGTTTAAATATATCCCGTTTATTTCGTATTTATTTCTTATTTTCTTTGTTATATAGGAAAAAATAATAAAAGCAATAGAAATCGCCAAAACAATTGTGCATTGGGGTTTTATTCCATTTATATTATATCTCGGTAAAAGTTTATTCTATTCATTCTAATAGTACTTTTAAAAGACGAGATGTCTCATTTATTTTAATATAATAGGGTTTACCAGAAGTAATCCAAAGCCTTCTCTGATCAGGTAAACCAACTGAATGAATTATTTGCACTTTTTTACATTTAGTAATTCACACTTTTTTTTTATTCGTTTCAGGATGATCCCTTTAGCAGCTTAACCACTGCAATGATATGTTTTCGATGAATTTTTTCATATCGATATATATTAAAATAATTTTCTTTTAAACGTTAATACAGCAATCTTTAAATGTAAATAATTTTTGTTAAATTTTTTGGGAAATTCCATTTTAATCAAGGTTAAAAGCTGCTCGGTACGTATGTATCGAGGCAGCTTTTGTCTCGAATCAGTCAACGATCGAACATGTGACCAGCTCACATGTTCGATCGATCATTAGGCAAACGAAAGTATGAGGTAATTTGATTAATGTTGTGATTAGTATGAGTCAATGTTCGTTAGTATGTGAGTATGAGGTAATAGCGTAAGTATGAGGTAATAATGGATCAGTATATTAGTAAGTAAGGGGAAATTGATTGTAGTCAATTTTGTCTTTTCTGCGAACCCGACTTTCGTTCTACCCGTGTTAGAGAAATGCGTAGGTGGTGTGACCTGCCGAGACGGCAGTCATGAATAAGAGAAGATGGAGGGATCTAAAATACTTGTATAGTGAGAACCGCTAAATGTGGCCTGTCGAGACGACAGTCACATAGAATTTAGAGGCCTGTCGGGACGACAGTCACATAGAATTTTAAGGCCTGTCGGGACGACAGTCTTAATAGAATGAAATAATAGAAGGAGGGTGCGTTTTCACGATTCTATATACAACTGCGCCCGTATGTGTTCTTCATAGTAAGTAGTTCAACAAAATGAGAGACAAAACAAAAAGTCACCTAGACTTTTACTACCGGATTGAGGTCTTGTATTATATAAAAGAAAAATTTATAGCGATAGGTCTAAACTTTTAAATTTGGTCCAGACGATAATGGTCGTAGAAGACATTCATGTGATTGGTTAATTTATGTAGATCAAAACGTGATCATTAACCAATAAAATTAATCGAAAATTCAATACACTTTACTTTTTATAAGATACTACCGTATAAGCGCCATGAGCGTTATTTCGAATAATGGGCAAAATTCAAATTTACACCCCTGCGCGTTATTTCGCGCTTATAAGGTAAGGCCACACCTGTTTAACATAATCCCCGCCCGGTCCGCATTTAATATTACAGCTGTTCTCATAAATTCTGGAAAATTTGACCGACCGAATATTTGCCGATTCGATAAGCTTTGATAAACTTTTGAGAACAGCTGTAAAAATTTTTGCCAGCCCGGCCCGGCCGTTTTACAGCTGTTTTCATAATTCCTGGGACACCTGTAAAAAATTAGCCGAATGATTTTTCGACCGATCCGGTTAAGCTATTATTTCGGCATAATAGACTCAATACAACTGTTATACGTACTTACGTACGTACGTTACAGTTATTGTATGGGTTGTAAAAATAACTAAATTTGCACGGTTAACCGTTACATGCAGTGTCTAAAATTAATGCGCGGAAGGGGCGGAGCGCATATCAAAAAATTTTCTGCACTTTACAGCTGTTTTCATAATTCTTGAAACACCTGATAAAAACTTGCCGAATGGTTTTTTGGCCGATCCGGTTAAGTTGGCATGATCGATACATAACGATAAATTACAATTTATGTTACGTTATATACATATAGATTACATTGTAATTTGAAATATGTATTAAGCACTAAACGAAAATTTAGTAATATTAAACGTGCCGACATTTATAATGTTAAAATTATCATAGAAAAGTGTCATATATAATGCATATGTCTTTTATATATAGGGATATAGGAGTATATAAGGTGGAAATTTGCGTGTAAATTTCTGATATGTAATTTTTGTTATATAAATAACGTTGTCCAGAACTTTACGTATAGAGCTGGCACACAAAGTCTAATAATGCTGGCAAAATTTTTGTAATGCAGATAAATTAAATTTCATGTAATTTTCACACGGCATACATGAAACTCCAGATTTACAAAATTTCGGCAGCATTATTGCATTATTATGTACGATCCGAATTGTAACTCCTAAAACGTCGAAATTTGATCTCAGAAATTAAATGTCATGTGTTCAAAATTACAAATACCGGTACATGAAATTTCAATTTACCGAATAACACAAATTACGCACCCCGAAATTTGTGCTCCGGATGATCATGTGATAGAACCACCCTAGCGTCACCCAAAAAATCAGTTACGTACCGGAATTTAAAATTGAATATCAGCACCCAAATAACGATT